ATCATATGTGGACGTCTTCAGTCCAGGTCTTGATGGAAAGCAGGCCGGTTGCAGGCTGAGGTGAGAGAGCAGCACGTTCCGGAACACGATGGAAACCCAACAGGCCTGCACCTAGCCCAGGCCTCTAGGGCTGCTGAAGCAGAGAAGCAGGGGTTTCAGGCTGAACTGAACTAGTAGGACCAATTACGGGGACCGGGCGACAGCCAGTAGTAGCATGGATGTCCAGAGTACTGGGTTGAGACCAGAAACTACTCATGGTGTATACGGATTTAAAGAGAGTATTAGAAGTTAGATGTGAACGCAGATTCACACAGATACTACTCGGCAATGTGCACCCCAATGTGCAGTTCCACTGGTAATCCATGGAGTGGCCCGCTTCCCGGGTCTGCTACCACTGAGACACGCGCCTCCGTGAGCCTCAGCTGATGAGGGGTCTGAGCTGGCTCCTCCTCTTCCCACGGCGCTTGTCTAGAAACCACTGTCTTAGGCCCCTAACCTACGAGCTGCTGGTGACTTCCGGTGTCCTGCAGTTTTGGGCTTCTTCTGAGCCCTGGAAACCTGGTGCTGAAAGTATGACACGGACTTGATGGACACTCGGGCCATTTGGCACCTGCCATTTTGCTGAAGGTGACGTGATCTTTGACCAGCGTCGGGGACTACCCACAGTCTCATAGCCTTTCTGAACGCGAGCTCGCTCATGTTCTCATGCTGCCACCCAGTTCCTGGGAGATCAAAAATTTCCTGTCCATGGTGGGGATCTGGCACCACAGTTAAGCTGCCAATTAAGATGTCCATGTCTTGTACCAGAGGACGTGAGTTCCAGTGCTGGCTCCGGCCCCCCATTCCAGTTTCCTACCTGCACCCTGAGAGGCAGCAGGTGATGGATCAGCTGGCTGGGTTCCTGCCCCCCATGTAGGACACCTGGATTGAGTTCCCAGCTCCTGGCTTTGACCTTGCCCAGCCCCAATGTTGTGAGCATTTGGGGTGAAACAGTGAATGGGAGTGCTCTTTCTCTTTCTATCTCTGCATATTTAAAAATATATATATATTCTAATCACCTCTCTGATTAAAGTTTAACTTTAAAAAAAAAAAAGGTGTATTTGCTTGTTTATTTGAAAGGCAGAGTGACAGTCAGATCCTTTAGCTGCTCGTTCACTCCCCCAAATGCCCACAACAGCTGGGGTGGGCCAGGTGGAAGCCGGAAGCCAGGAACTCCATTGAGGTCTCCTATATGGGTGTCAGGAATCCAAGTACTTGGGTCATCATCTGCTGCCTCCCCAGTGCATTAACAGGAAGCTGGATCAGAAGTGGAGGCAGAACTCGAAACCAAGCGCTCTGATATGGGATGTGGGCATCCCGAGCAGTGACTTAACCCCACCGCACCAAAATGCCCACCTTGAAGGCTCAACTTTTATTTTGGAACTGCTTTTTCGATTGTCCATAATCACCTCATGGGAGCGAGAAGACTCCTTTTAGCTCAGTGTAGACCTGAGTTTTTCCAGCTGACCCCACCAGTGCCCTGTGCACCCAGATCCACCCTCTGTGGGATGGACTCCAGGAAGGACCCCTCGGGTCCACCCGAAACCAGCGGAATCAGGCTTCAGTGTGCCCGAAGGGCTCCCCTCTTAGGTCACCAAGCCCCTCGAGAACCTGACAAGTCACCCCGACACCCCCACTCCCCTGCCCTTTTGCAGAGAACGGGGAACAAGTAAGAGCATGCCACTGCACAAGGAAAGTGCTCAAGCTCGCAGAGGGGACAGGGAGGTGGTCCAGTGAGCTGGAAGACGTCTGGTAGAGCCCCAGGGGGAGGCAGCTGCCAGGGGAGGGGTCCTGAGGAGGCCCGGGTGAGGGGCCCCAGACAGTGCGGGAGGGTCCAAACCAGCATGAAGCAATTTTCTGTTTTTCTTAATTAAGCCTCATGAGTCAGCTCAGATATCTGCTTTCACTTTCTGCCCCTTACGAGCAAGGCTGAAGATAGCTGGTCCAGGGATTAGGAATGCATCTATTTCCAAGTAGGAGCAAATCCACTAAAAACAAGCAGCCCACGCTGTCCTCATTGCATTCCTGCACAGACGACCTGTTATTCCAAAGAAGGAGAGTTGAATCACGGGACACGTAGTCAACATGCTCATTTCACAGATGAGAAGACTGAGGCTCAGAGAGGTGAAGTATTAAATAACATGCCCCAAGTCACTCCACCAGTACCTGCAGAAATCACGGGACTAGAACTCCGGCTCTTAAAATCTCAGTCCATGCACTTCCTCACCTTCTCCCCTGCCTGCCTGGGGTTCCCGTGCTGGCTGCCAGGCCTGTTCTGGGTGAAAGGTTGCCTTAGAGTGCCCTCCCCTGGCCCTGGGCAGCCACTGGAGCAGCTCTGGTGACAGAATCATGCACAGAGCTGGTTAAAACTCTAGGCTGGTGTTGTGGTGTAGCAGGTAAAGCCGCTGCCTGAGATGCTGGCATCTCATATGGGCTCCAGTTCATGTGCTGGCTGCTCTACTTCCAATCCAGCTCCCTGCTAATGGTCTGGGAAAACAGCAGAAGATGGTCCAAGTGCTTGGGCCCCTGCACCCACATGGGAGACCAGGATGAAGCTCCTCGCTCCTGGCTTCAGCCTGGCCCAGCCCTGGCCATAGCAGCCATCTGTTGAGTGAAGCAACAGAAGATAGCTATCTGTCACTCTCTATCTCTCCCTGCTCTCCACAACTTTCTTTCAAATAATAGATAAAGCTTAAAAAATAAAGTTCCTGGGCCCCACTCCAGTTCTACCAAATCAAAAACTTGGTAGGTGGGTTCAGCAATCTATTTATTTATTTATTTATTTTTAAAGGTTTATTTTATTTATTTGAAAGGCCAAGTTACACAGAGGCAGAGAGAGAGAGAGAGAATAAAAGTCTTCTATCCACTGGTTCATTCCCCAAATGGTTGCAGCAGCTGGAGCTGTGCCAACCTGAAGCCAGGAGCCAGGAGCATCTTCCAGGTCTCCCACATGGGTGCAGGGGCTCAAGAACTTGGGCCATCTTCTACTGCTTTCCCAGGCCATAGCAGAGGGATGGATCAGAAGTGGACCAGCCAGGAATCAAACCGGCGTCCATATGGAATGCTGGCATAGCAGGTGGCAAGTTTACCCACTATACCACAGCACCCTTTTTTTTTTTTATTTTAAGATTTTTTTTTATTTGAAAATATGAGTTATAGGCTGGGGAAGTGGAGATAAAGAGGTCTTCTATCCGCTGGTTCACTCCCCAAATGGCTGCAACGGGCAGGGCTGGGCCAGACTGAAGCCAGGAGCCTGGAACTCCACCCAGGACTCCTACATGGAGGACAGAGGCCCAAACATCTGGGCCGTCTTTCTCTGCTTTCCCAGGTGAACTGGATTGGGAAGTGGAGCAGTCAACACTCGAACCAGTGGTCCTGTGGGATGCCGGTGTCACAGTCGGGTTTAACCCACTGCCCCACAATGCCGGCCCCAGAACTTGCGTTTCTAACAAGTTTCCAGGCGATGCTGATCAGCTAAGTCAAACAGCACTTACTGAGCATCTTCAGTGTAGGCCAGAACACCCAGTCCAGGTCCCAGCCCAAGTCCCAGCCCTGTCACTGGTGAGCTGCTACTGAACATGACACTTAACCTCTTAGCCTCCGTCTTCTCGCTTTATGATGGTAACCACCACCACCACCCATGGGGTTAATGTGTAAAATGGGTAAGTCAGGCGGAGACACACACACACACACACACACACACACACCCCGCAGATGCAACCCTGATGCTACGGGAATGCACAGGGCTCTTGTCAGGAAAGACAGTCCATGGGGACAGGTGCATCCTCTGAATGCTAAGCAAACCCACCACCAATCCAGAAGAAATGTTCGTGTCCTTCCACAATTAGTGCCTGAGGAATTATTAGAGCCAGGCCCTGGGCTGTGCATCAGGTTTGCAAAGGTGAATGACACAGTCTCTGCCCTGGAGGAGCACCTGGAAGGAAGATAAACATGCAAATCCTAATAATTACCCTAATGGGTGATGAGCCAGGGAAGGAACCCTGTGCCTTGAAGCAGCCAGCAGCCAACCCTGTCTGAGGAGGCAAGCAAGACTTTGAAGAGGAATCTGACTTTCAAGTAGGGGTTTTGAAGGATGAGTAGGAGTTCTTTAAGAAGAACCATGGCAGGGGGCACTTCAGGCCGAAGGAACAGCTTTTGCAAAGTGGTCACAGAAGCATGAGAATGCGTGACACGTCTGGTAGGGAAACCTGCGTGGTTAGAGCTCAGTGGGTGCGGGAAGAGGACTGGTGAGGGGGGCTGGGCAGGACTGGGCAGAATCCTGGCTGCTGTGCTCCATAGGTCAGGCCCGGTTACAAGTCTGGAGGCAAAGCCTCTGGAGACACCCAACCCCTCGCTGGAGGATTCCTTGGAAAAAAATCCGAGTAAATTCCCAAAATGAAGATTTATGAAGCGAGGACCTACATCGCCAGCCCACTCAGTGCCCACAGCCTTGCCTGCCAGGAAGCCAAGCCCAGAGCCGCCTCCTGGATGCGGGGGCAGCCCTTGGGAACAGGCTCCCCTGGAAGGCACACGGGGAGTCTCTTACCTCTGACCTTCATCAGATACACTCGGCACCTTCCCGGTAGGCTTCCTCCTGCCCAGCCCCCAAGGGCGTGGAGTCACAGGCGGAACAAAAGGACGTTATCTAGAACTAGTAAGTTCTGGGAGGTGGAGGGAGGCGGAGCCGGTGGGGGCGGGAGAATGAGTCCTCCAGCAGCGCTGACGCAATCCAGTTAGAGGCAGGTGGAGAGGACACCTGGAGCCAGGTGCTCGCTGAAGCTGGAAGAGGCCCGGCACCCCCACCCCCAACCCGCCCCGGACCGGACCTCACAGCTAGCTGACTCCCAGGCCTCAGTCCCCACGTCCAAGTCCAAGAAGGAAAGCCCCAGGAAACTGGCGATTTCTGTCTCCAGTGACCTCACCCCCTCCTCCTGCCCCCACCCCACCCCCCGCGCCCCCGCGCCCCTTTCAGTCTCAGGAGGTCTTCAAAGTCCACAGTAAGTCCTACTAGGGAAAGACTATGTAAGTATTTACATACACATGCTGGAACAGGGACATTGGCCTCAGCCATTTTAGGCTCTTGTTAGCCCTGCCTTCTTCCAAGAGACCAATTCTGCCTCACACCCCGCATTCCTCCCCAGGTTTGGAAGCCGGTGCACCAGGCTTGAAGCACCTTAATGGGGAAGCTCACCTCCTCCTACTGCCCCCACCCCCACTCCTAGCCCACCCAAGTATAAAAAGGCCCGGCCTGCCGGGGTCTGGGCCCCCTGCCACGTGTTCAGTCTGTGTGCACACCGGCAGTGGGTCGACCTCTATGCGTTTATTGTCTTTAAACTTTCATTTATTTTCCATAAATTCGGTCTGGCTGCGAGTTTGTATCTGTCTCCTCTCCGTTCTGCGCCCTTTCTCTGACATTTGGTGCCCTGTGTGAGGAGGCACCAATCTGCACCGCCTTTCTTCTTACAATACATATTTTTTTAAAAAACACCTTTTTGAACTAAAAGTAGAGTTACCTTTTAATTCATTTCTCCATGACCTTGTTGAAGTACCCTGGTGCACTTGGTGTAATGAGGTGTGTAGCAAGTGCCATTTTTGAAGAAAGCAGTAGAGAGGAAAGGGGCCAAGCTGAGCTTCTACGCTGCATGGGTGTGCGGTTTTACTCCAATTCCTCTGTCTCCTGGAGAGGGGGAAGCAACTTGCAATGATCCCTTTTATTTTAAGGGAAATACTGTAACAGGTCTTCGGGTTAGACCAGAACAAAACCTGCTCTCCTGGAAAGGAGACAGTGCGACGCGGGACCACGAGACGCTGCGAGCCGTAAGGGAGGCTCCCAGCCGGGCTCACGGGGAGAGCTGTTTCCACTGGGCTAGGAGGAGTGGAGAGAGGGCCTGTTCCACAGTGGGAGCCAGCAGGAGTGAGTGAGAACTCGCAGGAGTCCTCAAACCCTGGCACATGGGACTAGATGAGAGTTGGGGGAAACTCTTCATGTTTGGTGACAAATGGAAACATGGCTGGGGTTGTGTTCTGTCTGTCTCGCTGGTAGGGCTACCAAGAGTGTCCCACGCCAGCCCAAGAACCCATGGAGCTCATTCTCCAAAGACAACTCAGGCAAAGGTGGAGCAGCCACAGCCCACCAGGAGGAGCCCCACCGCCCACCCCAGGGCAGGGTCTTGCCCATCTTCTGCTCTGTTAAGTGCAGGGCTTGGGGTCTGATGGGAAATGGGCCACACTCTACTACCTCTCTTAGTTCCTAAATGCTTTACCTTGAATTGCTTCTTTTTCCTAAACACTTGACTTTTTTTTTGACAGGTAGATTTAGATAGTGAAAGAGAGAGAGACAGAGAGAAAAGTCTTCCTTTCCGTTGGTTCACCCCCCAAATGGCCGCCACAGCCGGCGCGCTGCACCGATGCAAAGCCAGGAGCCAGGTGCTTCCTCCTGGTCTCCCATGCGGATGCAGGGCCCAAGCACTTGGGCCATCCTTCACTGCCTTCCCGGGCACAGCAGAGAGCTGGACTGGAAGAGTAGCAACCGGGACAGAATCCGGCGCCCCAACTGGGCTAGAACCCTGAGTGCCGGTGCCACAGGTAGAGGATTAGCCTAGTGAGGCGTGGCGCTGGCCAACACTTGACTTTTTTTTTTTTTTTTTTTGACAGGCAGAGTGGACAGTGAGAGAGAGAGACAGAGAGAAAGGTCTTCCTTTGCCGTTGGTTCACCCTCCAATGGCCGCCATGGCCGGCGCACCACACTGATCTGATGGCAGGAGCCAGGTACTTATCCTGATATCCCATGAGGTACAGGGCCCAAGCACTTGGGCCATCCTCCACTGCACTCCCTGGCCACATCAGAGAGCTGGCCTGGAAGAGGGGCAACCCGGACAGAACCCGGCACCCCAACCGGGACTAGAACCCGGTGTGCCGGCGCCGCAAGGCAGAGGATTAGCCTAGTGAGCCGTGGCGCCGGCTTCAACACTTGACTTTGAAAAATAAAATCCTATACTTTGAAAATGTTACAGGAAATTGGGTCACCCTGGGATAAGGGTGCATGACCTGCCAGGTGGTGGTGGCGGCCGGGTTTGAGACCGGAGGCCAGGGGAGGACTGAATGGCCACTTGGAGAGTAAAGCACTTCTGCCTTCTCTTAATGCAAAAAACCACAGTACCTACTGCTTATATCATAAACACAAATACGTAATAAATATATTATTCTTATAAAATAGTCACTATGTATTATATATATTTATAGCAATGCATTTTATAAAATATTATTAAACATGTGAATGATTTATATCAAACCTATTTAAATATACATATAATAAACCACTCTATAAAATGTAAATAATATGTAAATTATGGAAGACGTAAATATCAATTTTCTTACTGCCAAAAATTAATCAGGGCTAACATTTCAGGATACTTCCTTCAGTCTTACTCTATGCATATCAACAAAAAATGTAAACAGACAAATAGATATAGACAGCCCCTGGCTTATGAGGATGGGCCTTATGAGGACCAAATGCCAAATGGATTCAGTGGAAGCCACTGAGTGGAACTTTGGTCTTTTGTCATTGTGACAGATGACTGTGTCACGAGGCTGGGCAGCGGCAACCAGCACCAGGGGCAGCTCCTGGTACTGGCTAAGCTACCATGGTCAGTATGGTAGGCTCATTAAATACATTTTCCACTTAATAATTTTTTTTTGACAGGCAGAGTGGACAGTGAGAGAGAGAGACAGAGAGAAAGGTCTTCCTTTGCCGTTGGTTCACCCTCCAATGGCTGCCGCGGCCGGCGTGCTGCGGCCGGTGCACCGCGCTGATCCGATGGCAGGAGCCAGGTACTTATCCTGGTCTACCATGGGGTGCAGGGTCCAAGTACCTGGGCCATCCTCCACTGCACTTCCGGGCCACAGCAGAGAGCTGGCCTGGAAGAGGGGCGACCGGGACAGAATCCGGCGCCCCTACTGGGACTAGAACCCGGAGTGCCGGCGTCTCAAGGTGGAGGATTAGCCTACTGAGCCGCGGCGCCGGCCTCCACTTAATAATTTCAACTTACAGCCATAGGCTGAGGGGCCTCTGTACACTGCATACCCACTCACACTTATTTCACAAACCCAGCAGGGACGGGACCTGCTTCTCGGACAGTGAAAGTCCCAGGGCCAACTCTCATTGGTCCAGCCTGGGGCACCTGCCTACCCCGAGTGGGTCTCTCTGCTGAATGGTCAGGCTAGGAGAAGCATGCACCCAGTCCCACCCAAATCACGTGGACGAAAGCTGGCATGAACACGTGGCTTCCCCATGGAAAAACAGGGTATTGATACCCAAAGAAACAGCCGCACCAACCTGCACGCCCACCATGGGAAAGCCACTCTGTCTACGGAATTTTGCACTGAACCTTCTCTGGTTTGTCCCTGATGCTCTCTGCACAAAATGCCCCCACCCGCAGCCTTCCCTACTGGACAGACTCCACGGCACAGGCCTCTCTTCTGTGAACTCTTCCCTGGCACGGCCCCAGTGGTGCCCAGTGCTCTCTGCTTGGACCCGCACCCTGCGACCTGTGGGCATCCAAGTGCTTGCCCCTTGCCCTGCACCTCGGCCGTCAGCACCAGAGCTGGTGCAGGGGCGTGCACCAGGCATAAACTGCCTCGTGGGCACAGTCCTGCGCCTCCACTCGGTCTCTGTTTCCAGTTACAAGTCATTACGTGGAACTCGGAGCCAGTGCCTCCAAACCAAGGCTGCCGATGATAATTGAGTTTTAGAGTCCACGAAAGCCTATTTAACCTGTATGATAGTTTAAGTGATCTAAATGTGTATACTTAATGAGTAAATGAGACCAAGCATGTGCAGGTTATTTGCAAATGCAAGTCATTATTATCATCACTAATTATAAACCTTATTATTAATATTATCACCACCCTTTCCCTATTACCCTCCTTCCTCTCCCTTGCTTGCTTTGTCTATTTTATGCCTTCTCTCCTTCCCACGAGTCTCCATCATGTCTGGGGTGACCAGGCTGTGGTAGGCTGTTGAGGAGCCCAAGTACTAATTATAGCAGCGTTCCCTGGGGCGATGTGGTGTGTGGTGAGGTGGGGACGGTGCTTCTGTCTCTCACTGCAGCCAAAGTGGCTTCTGAGAACTCTGTCCACAGTGAGGAAGAATGTGGAGAACACTCCTCTGTGCCCCGGAGGCCAGCTCTGCCTTTGACACTGCCTGGTCAAGCATTGAAGGCATAGACCTTGCAGGAAGGGGAGTTGTCACTCAGGGACTGCTGTGGATGGGTGCAAGGCGGGCTGACGGCACAGTGGTCAAGATGCTGGTTGGGAGGCCCATATTCCATACCTGGAGTGCCTGCGTTCAAGTCCTGGTTCCACTTTCTTTCTTTTCTTTTCTTTCTTTTTTTTTTTTTTTTTTGACAGACAGAGTGGATAGTGAGAGACAGAGAGAAAGGTCTTCCTTTGCCGTTGGTTCACCCTCCAATGGCCGCTGCAGCCAGCGCACCGCGCTGATCCGATGGCAAGAGCCAGGTGCTTCTCCTGGTCTCCCATGGGGTGCAGGGCCCAAGCACTTGGGCCATCCTCCACTGCACTCCCGGGCCACAGCAGAGAGCTGGCCTGGAAGAGGGGCAACTGGGACAGAATCCGGCACCCCGACCGGGACTAGAACCCGGTGTGCCGGCGCCGCTAGGTGGAGGATTAGCCTAGTGAGCCGTGGCGCCAGCCCTGGCTCCACTTTCAATTCCAGCTTCCTGCTAATCTGCACCCCGGGAGGCAGCAGGTGATGGCTCAAATGCTTGGTTTCCTGCTACCCACGTGGGAGATCTGGATGAATGCTAGGGTCCTGGCTTCAGCCTGGCCTAGCCTCAGGTGTTGTAGGCCTTTGGAAAGTGAACCAGTTGATGGAAAAGCTCTTTGTCTCTGAGTTTCAAATAAAATAAAAATAAATTTTTAAATTAAATTTTTTTATTTGACAGAGTTAGACAGTGAGAGAGAGAGAGAGACAGAGAGAAAGGCCTTCCCTCTGTTGGTTCACCCCCCAAATGGCCACCACAGCCGGTGTGCTGCACTGATCTGAAGCCAGGAGCCAGGTGCTTCTCCTGGTCTCCCATGTGGCGCAGGACCCAAGGACTTGGGCCATCCTCCACTGCACTCCCGGACCACAGCAGAGAGCTGGCCTGGAAGAGGAGCAACCAGCACAGAATCTGGCACCCCGACCGGGACTAGAACCCTGCGCCTCAGGCGGAGGACTAGCCTAGTGAGCCGCGGCACCAGCCCCAAATTTTAAAACTTTTTTTTTTTTTTGGACAGGCAGAGTGGACAGTGAGAGAGAGAGAGAGAGAGAGAGAGAGAAAGGTCTTCCTTTTGCTGTTGGTTCACCCTCCAATGGCCGCCGCGGCTGTGGCTGGCGCACCGCGCTGATCCGGTGGCAGGAGCCAGGTGCTTCTCCTGGTCTCCCATGTGGGTGCAGGGCCCAAGCACTTGGGCCATCCTCCACTGCACTCCCGGGCCACAGCAGAGAGCTGGCCTGGAAGAGGGGCAACCAGGACAGAATCCGGCGCCCCGACTGGGACTAGAGCCCTGTGTGCTGGCGCTGCAAGGCGGAGGATTAGCCTAGTGAGCCACGGCGCCGGCCAAAATTTTTAAATTTTTAAAAATTGCCCAGGGTATTTCTTGTCCGTGGCTCTCTAGGAAAACATTTCTACTGGAGAGAAGTAACAGATGGATCCCAGGCCTCATCACCTCCAAAGACCCTACCAGTGGAGATATCAGCGGAGGAGAGTGCAGCAAACCTGCAGAGGATTGGAAGTGGCTGCAGGAGCCGTAACTGAACCTGCAGAGAGGAGAATACAGACTCCAAAGTGCCTGAAGGGGGCGCTGGTGGTGAGGACTGAGCAGGTTGTCCCCCACAGAGCCCCAAGAGGCTGGGAGCTCAGAGGCAGCTGGGTTTGAGAGCGAGGGCTGAACCCTAGGGACCTGCCTGAAAGAGACACGTGGAGAAATTACCCCTCCCAGCTCCACACAGGCAACCACGTCCCTCCTCGAGACTGGAGAGTGTTTCTAGAGAGCCAGGTGCTCTCTAGTTCAAGGGTCCCAGCCAGTCAGAGGCAGGCGTCTGGCTGAGAACAGGGAGGGATCAAGGTGAGTCCTTACATAACTAAGTGGGGTCCTGTGCCAGGCCTCGCCCCCTACCCCAGTCCCAGAAGGGCCTATCAGCTATCTGCCCGCTGGTAGACGACTGGAGGAGCCCTCACAGTTTCCTAGCCCCGAGAACAGTCCCCTGCACTTTGACTTTTCACGGTCACTCAATGCCATGGCCAGAGAGTGAAGCCCCCCAAATTCCACCCCCACCCAACCCCCACAGAGCGGCCTGTTTCATCTGGTTGGATAACCCAGGACCACCAAGACTTTGCCAAGTATCCCACATGAAAAGAGAGAGACCAAAACAAAACATTTAAAAGTTTTCATGTTTCCATTTAATTTTTCTAAATGTTTATGTATTTCTTTGAGGGAGGGAGAGACAGAAATCTTCCTTCTGCTGGTTCACTCCCCAGGTGGTGACGATGACCAGGGCTGGTCCAGGACAAAGCCTGGGGCTGGGAGCTCCATGGTCTCTCACATGCGTGGCAGAGGCCCAAGCACGTGGGCCATCTCCTGGTGCTTTCCCAGGCACATCAGCAGGGAGCTGGGCAGGAAGCAGAGCAGCCGGGACTTGAACTCACACTCCTATACGGAATGCTGGCATTGCAGGCGGCCGCTTCGCTTGCTGTGCTACGACACAGACCCCAATGTTTACATTCAATTAATAGCCTCTGAGAGCTTAAAAAAAAATGCAAGCCCATGAAAAAGAAAAGAATGGTGTGGAAAAGGAGCAATCAGGATGGCAGGAAGCTCTTAGAAATAAAAAAAAAATGTGATAGCTAAAACAAAAGATTCAACAAAAAAGTAGGAAAAGAAAGTTGAAAATATTTCCCAGAATGTAGAATTTTAAAAAGAATGGTGGGGGGCGGGATTTGGCCTATGGTTAGGATGCCTGCACCCCTCCCATCTTGGAGCATCTGGGTTCCAGTCCCAGCTCCACTCCCAGTTCCAGCTTCCTGCTAATGCACACTCTGAGAGATGGCAGGTGATGGCTCAGTGCTTGGGACCCTGCCGCCCACATGGGAGATGTGGGCTGAGTTCCTGTCTCCCAACTCCAGCCTTGCAGACATCTGGGGAATGAAGCAGCAGTTGGGAGCTTTCTGTCCCTCTGTCTCTCCAAAAAAATAAGTAAACAAACAAAAAATTTTAAAGATAAAGAAATGAAAACTATATAAAAGAGTGTTAGCATTCAAGGACTTCCAATATCTATAATAAACTTCAGAAAACAAAAGGTAGGAGATTATATATATATATATATGTATATGTATATATATATATGGATAATAATAATGTAAGATAATTTCCCAGAAGTGAAGACATGAATCTCCAAATTGAAAGTGGCTACTGCATGTCCAGTGCAGGGGGAGAGACTACCAAGGTAACATTTTGAATTTCAGAATGTCAGGATAATGAGAATAACCTAGAAACTTCGGAAGGGAAACATCTTGCCACATATGAAGGAGTGAGGATCTGTGTGGCCCTGGACATCTCGGTGGCAGGAGGCTCCAGAGAGTGGTGTTGCACACCCTCAGTTCTGGGTGAAAATTACTTTTATCCTCGTATTCTATACTTAGCCAAATAAAGGATAAGTGTGGAATAAAGATATTTTCAGAAATGTAGCAACTCAAAATTTTTACCTCCCACGCACCTTCTCTTAGGAAGATAGTGGAAGATATGATTCAGTGAAATGAAAGACTAAGCCAAGAACAAAGAACAAAGGGACTTCAGAAAACAGGGGAGCCGTCCAAGGGGAAGACTGACGGAGGAGAAGTCCTGAGCTGACACCTGAGCGCAGGTGTAGAGAGTGCGCCATCCAAGCTGGACCACAGAGGGCACGGGAGGAGGCCCCGGAGTGGGGGCAGGGGGGCAGGGATAGACTGTTTCTCATGCTTGGTTTTGGGGGGAAAATACTAGATATTTAACAGATACACTTTGGAGGAACATTTGGGAAATATTAACAATAACAATTTTTAAAACTAAGCAAAAGAAAATTTATGGCAATTGTTAACTACAAGAGAAACACAAAGCTGGAGAGAATGCGATTTTGTAATATTGTTCCACAGTGAGCAGTATTTATAGTCGTAGTATAAAAATTAACTATAGATTTCATATTTAGAATTCATAAACACTTTCACGGGGAATATGTGGAAGGGAAAATGTAAGAAAACAAAAACATCCATTATCATGCAGAACATCAATGGATGGTATCTCTCAGACTCCCACGTCTTAATACAAAGCCAAGAACTTACCGAAGCCAGCGAAGATGCAGCAAGCCCCTTTTATATTTAGCCAGCTTGTTATCTATGTAGGGAGAAAAATTAGAATAAGCAAAAGTGCCAGCTCTTTTTGACCCTTTCTCCACACACCAAAACGGACGCCACTGAAACAGCAGGGACCCCCATCTCTGAGCAGCCTGCTCTGCACCGCGGCTGAGCAGTTCTGTGCGTGCTCTTCAGCTCTGGTCTAAGGCACAGGGCTTCAGAGACTTGCAAAATCCAAATGAGGAAGTCACCTAGGTCATAGCTAGAAAAATAAAAGAGATAGGACGGAAGGGAAGTGCGTGATTCCTAGCATGTGAATCCTGGAGAAAGTGGAGGGGATGGCACAATGTAACATTCACGGAGATCATGGCAGACAATTCTCCAGAAAGGAGGAACTATAAAACGTTACAGTGGTGGGGCAGCCACTCGGCCAGGTAGGGAAGAAGCCACTTGGGATGCCCATGTCCCATGTTGGAGGAGCTGGGTTCAAGCCCTGACTCTACTTCCAATGCCAGCTTCGTGCTAAAGCACACCCTGGAAGGCACCAGGTGACAACTCAATGACATGGGTCCCTGCCACCCCCATCCAGTTTCTGGATCCTGGCTTCAGCCTGGCCCAGCTCAGGTTGTTGCGGGTATTTGGAAAGAGAACCAGAAGATAGGAGCTCTGTCTGTCTGTCTGTCTCTATCAAATAAATAAATAATTTTAAAAGTGTATTTTCTTAGAAACCTTCAATTATATAATACACTGATACAATACACTGATATTAGTGGGAAGCTGGAGTCAGGAGCAGGAGTCAGGCATCAAACCCAAGCACATTAATGTGGGGGTGCAGGCATTTTCACTGGTATCCTAACTGCCAGGCCAAACACCTGCCCCTTCTGCTTTTTTTTTTTTTTTTTTTTTTTTTTTTTGACAGGCAGAGTTAGACAATGAGAGAGAGAGAGACAGAGAGAAAGGTCTTCCTTTTTCCGCTGGTTCACTCCCCAAGCGGCCACTATGGCCGGTGCATTGTGGCCAGTGCGCTGCGCCAATCCAAAGCCAGGAGCCAGGTGCTTCCTCCTGGTCTCCCATGGGGTGCAGGGCCCAAGCACCTGGGCCATCCTCCACTGTACTCCCGGGCCACAGCAGAGAGTTGGACTGGAAAAGAAGCAACTGGGACAGAATCAGTGCCCCAAATGGGACTAGAACCCTGGGGTGCTGGCGCCACAGGCGGAGGATTAGCCTAGTGAGCTGCAGCACTGGCCCCCTTCTGCTTTTTAATGTACAAGCAAGCATACCCATGGATGAACACTTATTTGTCTTAAACAGTAGCATACAATATATATTTTACCCACCCTGTTTTTCCACGCCAGTGACACATACTGCAACTCATTTGGTAGCAGCATAAAGAGAAGTGTCTCTTTTTTTTTCACAGCCACATATACTCCATTGGGTAGATGTACTGTAGCTTGTTGAACCAGTCCTCCACCGATGGGCAAAAGAAATGAATTTGGAAAGGGTGTTTAGCCTATCAGTTAAAATACCTGCATTCCACAGCAGAGTGCCTGAGTTGTTTCCAGCTCTGGGCCCCGACTCCAGCTTCCTTTCAATACAGAGCTTTGGGAAACAGCAGTGATGGCTCAAGTAAGTGCATTCCTGCCATCCATGTGGGAGACCTGCAGTGAGTTCCCAGCTCCTGGCTCCAGTCCCAACCCCACCCTAGCAATGAGGGCATTTGGAGGAGGATATAGCGAACGTGAGCTCTTGCAAGTGCCCACTTGCTCTCTCTCTCTCTCTGCCTCTCAATAAATAAGTAAAAAATTTTAAGACAAATAAATAAAAGAGAATTTAAGGTTAAAAGCATTACAAGGGTCAAAATGGGATACTTCCTACTGTTCAAAGCAACAAGACATAATAACCAAGAATTTAAATGTACTTAACAACACAGCCTTGAAATCCGTAAAGCAAGATCTAACAGTTACCGAGAGGGAGACCTGCTGTACTCCGCGCCCCCCCCCCCCCGCCCCTTGAGACTGAGTTCCTGGAAGGCCAGATTCGTGGCCCTGTTTTCCCACTGTACCTTCAGTACCTAGTACATGCCTGGCACACGGAAAGGCTCAAGAAATGCTTATTAAATAAATGAATCAGGAGTGAGCTAGGAATGCTATGGTCTTTATATTGTTAGGAAAGAACAGATGTCCGAAGATGACAAAGAAACAAATCCATGTCAGACAGAGGTAGACCCCAAACCTCCAGCCTCTTAGGGCTTCGGCCTCCAGGTCTCATGAACCCATAGCGAACCATCAAAAACAAAACTAACCACGTCCCTCACATGCAAAAAGCAGGTGCTCTCTGAGAGTTGCTTTTTTTTTTTTTTTTTAAGATTTATTTATTCACTTGAAAGTCAGAGAGAGAGAAGGAGAGGCAGAGAGAGAGGTCTTCCATCTGCTGGTGCACTCCCCAAATGGCTGCAATGGCCAAAGCTGGGCCGATCTGAAGTCAGGAGCCAGGAGCTTCTTCTGGTCTCCCACACGGGTGCAGGGGCCCAAGGACGGGGGCCATCTTCTGCTGCTTTCCGATCAGCAAAGCAGTGCGAATGGGGAGCGGCTGCCCGGAGTTCCTTGGCTGGGCGTGGCCAGCCGGGGCTGGGTGGCCAAGCGTGCAGGATGGGGGAAGATGAGAGGCCCTGGCACCAGCCGTGGCCCTCTGGGCTCCCACCCAACATCTCCACACCCAGCTTGTGCTCGGGTGACCCCGCAAAGGGTGCTGCGCTTCCCAGCCCACAGCACGGTGCCCTGCAGCAGAAAGTCCCATCCCCACAGGAGGGCGGGGAAAGGAAGGAGGGCTTTGGGGGAGGGGACGGTGCAGAGGGCAGGGGGATAACAGATGAGGCTAAATTAATTTTGGAAACCATTAAATCTTTGAAAAGAGAGTGTGTTTTCAGCAGGGACAGTGAATCACTGTGATTTGCAGAAACAGGCACAAAGCAATTAGCCATCTGGATGCAGCGGCTTCCAGCCCCCCAGCGGAAACTCCAAGTGAGCGGAAGGCTGGTCATTACACAGCCCAGGCCCCGCACTCCAGGCCCCGCACAGAACTCTGCACCTCCAGCCGGCTGGGAGCCCCGAGGCCTAGGGCAAAGGGCCACGTCACGTGGCAGAGAACTGTGCAGGAAAGGTCCCACCAGGCACGGGGAGCCCGTGCTACCGCCTCCTTCCCGTGAGCGCCCCTCGGAACCCTGCATGCTGAGTGATTGAGTGAGCACTGCAGAAGCACTGGTTACTCACCCGCTGTCTCAGGCCTGTGCTAGTGCTTGAGTTATGTCACTTAATCCACGTGACACACGCTCGCTCCGGGGGTTCTCTGCACAATTCCAAGATGACCCCTTTCTCCAGGTGTTACACAGCGCAGTAACCTTGCTCCAGAGAGATCGACTCTTTTTGTTTGTTTTTTAATCAATGAGAAAATGGAAGCTGAAAAAGAGGAAGTGAATTTGCTCCAGGTGAGGAGCAGGACTGAGGGTGGAACTTAAGAATTCTTGCTCTGTCCTATACGATCCTTTCGCAAACTTCTCTGCTCACTTCATAAAGTGAGCATGGACGGGAAAGGGTCTTGTAAACCGTAGGTGCCATCTACAGCTGAGTCGTTATGAAGCAGGCAACACCTTGTGACCCTAAGGTGCCACCCTTTGGTTTATTTCTAGAAACTGCTAGGGAGCCGGGGACAAGCCCATCCAGGGAGAGGGCTGGCGAGCGAGGAGAACACACAGCCAGAGAGTGAGCGTTCCCCGGGGGTGCCTGACTGGAGCATGCTGGGCTGTGACTTACAGACTGACGGGGACTTGGCACTGTTCTCCGCCAGTGTCTGCCACGTGGGGCACGGAGAGCACACTGCTGGAGGGGCGTACTTCCAAGGAGGAGGGAGAAGCCAGGAAGGGAGACCACGACCCAGACTACCAAGGGATCGGTGCCCCGCGTGGAGGCTGCCTGAGTTTGCTGCGGGACCCCTAATGGGCCCTCCTCACCTTCTGCTTTGGTAAAGTGCCTCCCCAGCACCTCACCCAAGAGTTTATAAGCCCAGCCCAAGACTCTGCAGGGGCCTACAGGGCCTCCGCCTTGGCTGGCCAAGGAGTTTTCATATGCCGTCCGTATCTACAGTCCAACCAGCTGCTGCTAGGGACCCAAATCTCCAACCATGACCAAGCAGAGACTAGTGCAGAGCATGGACGGTGCAGGCAGAAACGCTGGGGAGAATCCCAGCCCAGCTCCTCCCTGGCCGTGACTTTGGGCAAGGTGGGGGACTTCTCTTTTTTCCACCTGTATAAAATAGGGCAAATGTTCCCAGCCCCTTCTCCTTCCTGAGGTGGTACGGAGCACACAGGCACCCTTGGGAAACAGGCAGACAAAGGCACTAAAATAGTTTTACAGTGTGGGGGGGTGGGCGCTGGTACTGTGGTGTAGCGGGTTAAGCTGCTGCCTCCAATGCTGGCATCCCATATGGGCACCAGTTCAAGTTCTGGCTGCTCCACTTCCGATCCAGCACCCTGCTAATGTGCCTGGGAAAGCAACAGAAGATGGCCCAAGTGTTTGGGCTCCTGGACCCTCGTGAGAAACCAGGATGGAGTTCCAGGTTCCTGCCTTCGGCCTGGCATAGTCACAGCCATTGAAGCCATTTAGAAAGTGAACCAGTGGATGGAAGATCTGTATGTGTGTGTGTGTGTGTGCGCGCACGTGCATCCCCTCTCTCTATAACTCTTTCAGATCAATAATAAAATAAATCTTAAAAATAAGGAGGGTGGGAACTGGGGTCATCTCCAGCTCCAGGCAGACTTCCAGACTCGGCTGCGGCGGCCACGTGGAATGAAAGCCTGGTGTTGAGAGATCTCTTTATTTGTCAAGAAAATCAGAAGTCATTTATTCATTTTCATTTTATTTGAAAGGGAGAGAGACACGGAGAGACAGAGAGAAAGATCTATCTTCCATCTGCCAGTTCACTCCCCTAATGCTTGCAACAGCCAGGGCTGGGCCAGGCAGAAGTCAGGAGCCAGGAACTCAGTTCCCCTCTACCACGAGGGCGAGGGCGTGAGGGGTCCAGGTAGCTGAACCTGCTCCTGCTGCCTCCCCAGGGGGCACATCAGCAGGCTGGAGGAGCTGGGACTAGAATTCAGGCACTGTGATACGGGATGTGGGGACCCAGTGCAGCCTCTTTAAAACCACCCCCCACACCTCTCCCCTGGAAACCTGGGTCCTTGCCTGAACTTTTCCCACCCTGAAAGGCTGTTGAGGACAGAAGACAGCTGCCGGCTGTCACGGTGTGACATCACAGGGCCACCACTGGCCCAACCTCATGTGCTCCTGTGGTGCATCTCCCAGCTGACCCCCCCCCCCCGAGGCTCTGTCTTTGCCCTGGTGGTCTGTCCCCCACGTTGTTACAGAGGGCTGAGGGGGACAGGTGTTCCCAGCACAAGCAGGCTGGGACCAGGACTGCAAGAGAGACAGGCAGGGGTGAGATGCAGAGACCTTCAACCCCGAAAGAACGAATGAATGAACGAATGAATGCAGAACTTGGGAGCCGTAAGAGCTCTCCTTCGGACACGCTGAGGGAGCACCCAGAAGTCTCTCGCAGATCGCTGGAGCCCTTGACCGGGAGCAGCCGGCCCCTGGCCAAGCGAAGCTGCCCCCCGCCCCGATCTCCACCTCGAGCCTCTGAGCAGAATCCGCGCAGCCACGTCCCGAGCCCGCCCCGCGCGCTCACGCCATCCGGAGCAGAGGCGCGGGCTGGGCGGACTCCGCATCCAGGCCCTTCCCAGAAGGGGCAGCGCCTTCCTCGCGCCGGGCCGCGGGGCTCCCCCGCCTGCGCTTCCCGGACGTGGCGACGCCTCCCTCCGCGGCCCTTCCCGGGCCGGCCTCAGCCTGGAGCCCCGGGCGTCCGCAGGGAGGCGACGGGAAGCGCCCGCCGCGGCGCCGGGCCCGGGGCACGCCCCTCGCCCTCCAGGTCGGCGGGATGTTCCCGGGAAAGGGCGGGAAGGAGGCCCGCCACCGCCGCCTCCACTCCTCCTCCAGGTGAGGAATTTTCCACAGCCCGTGCGCCCTCCCGGTCAAGGGCTGCGATCGGTCCCGGTCCCTTCGGCCCCTCGGCCCCTCCCGGGTTAGCCGGGGCCAGGGCTGGTGCCAAGCGCCGGACAGGACCTCGGTGCCCACGCAAAGGACAAGGCTTGAACCTCATCCATCCAAACTACAGAGGTGAGGAACTGTTCCAGACCGGAGACCAGAGAGACAGGCCAAGGAAATGCAGTGAGAGCCTGGTTCCTGGCCTGCATCTTGGATGGGGTGGGGGCTGCCATAAAGGGCATAATTGGCAACATTTGAATATGGACCGGATACTACACAGAAATCTTGCATCAGTGTTGAATTTCCTGAATTTGATCACTGAAATGTGGTTATGAAAAAGAACGCCCTTGGATCTTTTTCTCTCTAGTTATTCGGGGATAAAGGACATGTCTGCAGCTGACACTCAAATGGGTTCGGGTGCAGTAATAATGGGCACATTCCTAGTCCTCCAACAGTCCGACAGTTAAGCATCTGGTTATCGTATGACCCAGCCACGCTGCTCCCAGGTAGAGGCCCAAGAGGAACCAGAATCTGCCTTGCATGCTCATAGCAGCCTGGTTCACAACAGCCACATATAGACATGACCCCTGGGGGCCTATACAGTGGCACAGGTTAAACCTCCACCTGCAGTGCCCGCATCCCACATGCCCTCCAGTTTGAGTCCCTGCTGCTCCACTTCCCATCCAGCTCTCTGCTGATGGCCTGTGAAAGCAGCAGAAGATGGCCCAAGTGCTTGGGCCCCTGCACCCACCAGGGAGATCCGGATAAAGCTCCCGGCTCCTGGCTTCAGATGAGCCCAGCTCTGGCTATGGTTGCCATTTGGGGAGTGAACCAGTGGATGGAAGATCTCTTTCTCTGTCTCGCCCTCTGTCTGTAACTCTGCTTTTCAAATAAATACATCTTTAAAGAGGAAAAAAAAAAAAAAAAAGCAGCAGCAGCCCCAGAATCCGTCAGCTGAGGGCTGCGTCACTCACATGTGACATCTCCATCCCGTGACATCCCATGCTGGGTTTCCACGGGAAGAAGCGTGAAGCACTGGCCTGTGCCACAGACTGGATGAGTCTTGAAAACCCTTTGCTAAATTGCAGAAGTGAGTCACAGAAGACCACGTATGATCCTAGGAAGGTACTTCAAAAGGTTAGTGCAAATGTCGTTAAAAGACAAGGTGCAGAGGATAAGTACCTGGCTCCTGCCATTGGATCAGTGCGGTGCGCCGGCCGCGGTGGCCATTGGAGGGTGAACCAACGGCAAAGGAAGACCTTTCTCTCTGTCTCTCTCTCTCACTGTCCACTCTGCCTGTGGAAAAAAAAAAAAAAAAAAAAAAGACAGGGTGCAGAACCATCTTTGAAGCCTATGCGGAGTTTTTTGCACGGGTCCCATCCTCATGAACGTTTTGAAGACCCTCCTGTTTCACGCAGCACCAGAAAGCAGATCAGGGGTTGCCTGGAGGCTGAGACTGCGGGTAGCTGAAGAGAACAGGGTTTCTTTTTAAGGAGAAGTACTTGAACACTGACGGCAGTGTTGGCTGCACGAGTCTGCGAACATACTAAAGACCATAGACTAGTACACTTTAAGTGGGCAGGGTGTGTGGTATGAAACTGCTAACTCAATAAAGCCATCATTAGAAATAGGATACATGGAGCTGGCAGAGTGGTGCAGTGAGCTAAGCCTCCGCCTGTGGCGCTGACATCCCATGTGGGCGCTGGTTTGTGTCCCGGATGCTCCTCTTCCAATCCAGCTCTCTGTGGAAGCAGTGGAAGATGGCTCAAGTGTTGGAGTCCTTGCACCTGTATAGGAGACCTGGAAGAAGCCCCTGGTCCCTGGCTTCAGATCGGATCAGTTCCAGCTGTTGTGGCCATCTGGGGAGTGAACCAGTGGGTGGAAGACCTTTCTCTCTGTCTCTCCCTCTGTAACTCTGCCTCTCAAGTAAATAAATCAGTCTTTAAAAAACATAATAATACAGAGAGAGAAAGTGAGTGACAATGCAAACAAGACAGAATTAATTACTGGCAGAGGGAGGTTCAGAAGCTCATGGCACTATTGTATCAGTCCTGAGTTTGAAATGATTTCAACATTTAAAAGATGGCCCTTCTTCTTCTTCTTCTCCTTCTCCTCCTTCTTCTCCTCCTCCTCCTTCTCCTCCTCCTTCTCCTTCTTCTTCTTCTTCAACAGGCAGTTAGTGAGAGAAAGAGAGAGAGACAGAGAGAAAGGTCTTCCTTCCATTGGTTCACCCCCCAAATGGCCTCTAAGACCAGCGTGCTGCGCCGATCGGAAGCCAGGAGCCAGGTGCTTCCTCCTGGTCTCCCATGGGGTGCAAGGCCCAAGCACTTGGGCCATCCTCCACTGCCCTCCCGGGCCACAGCAGAGAGTTGGACTGGAAGAGGAGCAACCGGGACAGAATCTGGCACCTGGACCAGGACTAGAACCCGGTGTGCTGGCGCTGCAGGCGGAGGATTAGCCTAGTGAGCCGCGGCACCGGACCTAAAAGCTGGCTTTTAAAAGCATAAGCCTCAGCCGGCGCCGCGGCTCACTAGGCTAATCCTCCGCCTAGCGGCGCCGGCACACCGGGTTCTAGTCCCGGTCGGGGCGCCGGATTCTGTCCCGGTTACCCCTCTTCCAGGCCAGCTCTCTGCTGTGGCCAGGGAGTGCAGTGGAGGATGGCCCAGGTGCTTGGGCCCTGCACCCCATGGGAGACCAGGAAAAGCACCTGGCTCCTGGCTCCTGCCATCGGATCAGCGCGGTGCGCCGGCCGCAGCGCGCTGGTCGCGGCGGCCAGCTACGGCCATTGGAGGGTGAACCAACGGCAAAGGAAGACCTTTCTCTCTGTCTCTCTCTCACTGTCCACTCTGCCTGTCAAAAAAAAAAAGCATAAGCCTCATAGACCACCATCATAGACCACCATCTTCTGTTTAGAGGCTGTGGAGTCCAACAAGCAGGGCTCCCTGCTCAGCGCTGCTGCTTGTGGACGGTGTCCCCTGTCGCAAGCTGCTTGGCCTTTCTTGGCCTCATCTATAAAATGGTAATGAAGCCGAAAGCACTTTTCAGGAAGCTTTTGTGGGGATTAGGGACAGCACACACTGAGCTCTTAATCGTGTTAGCAGATGATGCTCCAAGAACTTGGGTCCCTGCTACCCACATGGGAGACCCGGATGGAATTTTTGGCTCCAGTCTTTAGCCTGGCCCAGCCCTGGCTATTGTGGGCATTTGGAGAGTGCTCAATCAATGTTATCTGTCATTATTCATTCAAAAGCAATGTTTAAATAATTTACTATTTCCTTTTAAAGCTTTATTTATGTATATGAGAGTCAGAGTTACACAGAGAAATCTTCCATCTGGTGGTTCACTCTCCACATGGCCCTAAATGGCAGAAGCCAGCAGCAAGGAACTTCATCCAAGTCTCCCACCTGGGTGGCAGGGCCCCAAGTACTTGGGCCATCCTCCGCTGCTTTCAACAGGCGCATTAGCAGGGAGTGGAGCGGCCGGGACTTGAACCAGCGCCCCTATGGGAGGCTGGTGTGGCAGGCAGCAGCTTAACTAACTACTCATGCCACAGCAGCAGGCCCTTCCTTTTTTACTACAAAAGTAATACATGTCCATTATGGAAATTTTGGAAAATGTAGATAAACAAGGAAATAAAAATCACCTGTACTCCTTAAGTTCTGTGAAATTCACTGCTAATACTTCGAGAAAAACCCTACTAGGCTATATTCACAGAACACTTACCAGAGCATCTTGCATATTCTACATATTATTTTGTAAGATGCACTGTTCACTGTACATAACAAACATCTACTGATTATTCAGCATATATCAGATAGAGGGCTAAGTGCTAAGGACTCTGACGTGAATCAGACAGACACACCCATGGGTGGGCATTGTGGCACACTGGGTTAAGCCACCACTTGGGACACTCATATCCTATCTCATGCTTGGGATCCAGTCCTATCTCTGCTTCAGATCCGGTTTCCTGCCAATGCCCCTGGGAGGTAGCAGATGATGATCCAAGCAAGTACTTGGGTCCCTGCTACCCATGTGGGAGACCCGGGTGGAGTTGCTGGCTCCTGTCTTTAGCCTGGCCCACCACTGGCTATTTAGGGAATCTGGGGAGTGAACCAGCAAATGGAAGCGATTTCTGTGTATGTATGTGTGTGTGAGAGACTCTCCCTTTCAAATAAATATAAATAAATAAATACACTTAAAATAAAAGATACCCAGACCTTGGGACTGAGTGCAACCCAGAAGTGAGGGAGACTTCTTAGCTAATAATCCGAGGGAACAATGTGATAAGCCACCCCGGGGCGGGGGGCAGACAGGGCCTGACCACCTCAGCCTAGAGCTGTCAGAAGGACTTCCCAGAGGTCCTCAGGAGATAAAGAGACCCGGAGTGAGTTCCTGGCTCCTGGCTTTGGCCTGGCCCAGCCCCCGCCATTTGGGTACATTTAGGGAGTGAACCAGCAGATGGAAGATCTCTATCCGCCTCTGTCTGTCTTTCAAGCAAATTAAATAAACCTCTTCTCCGAGAAACGGGGAAGGGCTATGTGGGCAGAGGGGCTGGCACGCAGGCGGCCGGCATTGTTCAAGTGCTGGCACGCGGTATTTCTGAAGCACTGCCCAGCCTTCGGGTTAGAACAGACTTCCTCTCCTCCCTCACAGAGCCTTCAGAGTCCTAGACTTTGCAGCCAGATTGGCCGAGTTCAAATCCTCTCTGTGCCGCATCAGCTGATTGATTCGGGCAAGTTACTTAACCTCTCTGAATCTTGATCCCTTATGGGGACGATGGAAAAAAATGTAACCAATCTCTCGGGGATGTGGAGAGGGTTAAATGGAGTTACGGCACGCATGACATTCTTGCAGCAATGTCTGGCACACAGTAAGCTAGCAGGAAGCATTTATCATTACCCCATCGCCTTCGTCCTCTCTTCTAATGCTTGCATTTCAGCCCTGTCACCCCAGGAAAGTGTAACAAAGAGCAAAATGGGGTGCCCCGGGGGGCAGAGGAGCAGACTGTGAGGGCTGGAGAAGCCTCTTTCCCAGGCGAGCCCAGGTGTGAGGCAAGGTCAGGAAATGAGCCTCTTTGCTGACCACTGCCGGGGGCCCTAACATCTGGTCCCCCACCCCTGCTGCTGTCAGGAAGTCACCCCCCAGGGCTGTGGCTGGGCACACACAGCTGCCTCCTCTCCAGAGCAGAAAGCTGTGTTGGGAACCCTTTTCTCCAGGGAGGAAATGGGCAGGGAATGACATTTGTGTCCCCACCAGTATGCAAATCATCTTATGAGACAAATGATTTTGCAGGAAAACACATCCTGTTCCTTCCAGAACGTTTCCCTTGACGTCTGGGGGGAAGAAGTTGGGGTAGTCAGGATCAGGGCAACTGTTCAGGGAGCTCCCGGCCTCCAGCCCCCCACGCCCGAGGAGCCAGAGCGGGTGACAGAGAAGGGAGGCCACAGGCTTAGCAGCCTCAGGCTTGGCACTGGAGACGGTACAGGGCCCAGAGCACACGGGCTCCCCAGCCAGCATCTCCCAGCCAACCAGCAAGGCAGAGGGCCTGGTGGAGCAATGGGGATCCAGGCGTTGCGGCTTCTGGGCTAGTGGAGGACCTGCCCGCAGTGTGACCTTGGACCAGTCATTCTTCTCCCTAGGCCAGCGTTTCCAGATCTGCACAATCAAGGCTCAAACCAAATCAAGTGTTTGCAACTTGGAGTACGTAGACCTTTAAATCATAAATAAGCTTCAAGGAATTAGAGCCACCCTTCTTTTTATATATATATATATTTTTGTTTGTTTGTTTGTTTGTTTGAGAGGTAGAGTTACAGACAGAGAGGGACAGACAGAGAGAGTGGTCTTCCATCTGCTGGTTCAATCCCCAAATGGCTGCAATGGCTGGAGCTGCACCGATCCAAAGCCAGGATCCGGAATCTTCTTCCAGATCTCCCACGTGGGTGCAGAGGTCCAAGCACTTGGGCCATCTTCTACTGCTTTCTCAGGCCATTAGCACAGAGCTGGATCAGAAGAGGAGCAGCCGGGACTAGAACCAGCGCCCGTATGGGATGCCAGCGCCGCAGGCAGAGGCTTGGCTTACCATGCCACAGTGCCGGCCCCCAACCTTCAATTCTATGCAGAATTCCGTACTTGTGCAGAGCTGTCATCAGAGGGATCTGTGGACTGATGTGAATCAGACCAAAACTCGGGCAGTGCCTGTGGTCCCTGGAGCTGAGTGCTGAGTGGCTGGGAACTCCTCGAGGACAAGAATGTGTCTCACAAAGTCAGACCTGTAGCCTGAATGAACACAGATACAAAGATTCTCAGCAGAATACTAGCAAATGGAATCTAAAACCACATCAGAAAGATCACACATCACAATCAAGTGGGGCTTAGGCCAGACACGCAAGGGTGGTGCCACATTTGCAAATCAATAAACGTCATCAATCGCATCAACAGAAGGAAGAACCAAAACCATATGGTCACCCCAATAGATGCAGAGAACGCATCTGGTGAGATTCAACACCCCTTCATGGTATAAGCCCTCTACAAATTAGGTATAAAAGGAACATTCCTCAAAATCATAAAGGCTCTAACAATCCAACAGCCAATATCATACGAGTGGGGGCCGCTGAAAGCATTTCCCCTCAGCTCTGGAACAAGACCAGGACGTCCACCTTCACCACTCTCGGTCAATATAGTACTGGGAGCTCCAGTGAGGGCAATTAGGGAGGAGAAAGAAAGACAGGGCGCCAAAACCGGGAAAGAGGACGTCAAAGTACCCATGTCTGCAGATGACATGATGTTGTACATGGAAAAACCTAAACACACCACCAAAAAGCTGTTAGAATTGATAAGCCAATTCAGTAAAGTCACAGGTTACACAATAAACATCCAAGAAACAGTAGCTTTTCGGTATACTAATGATCAACTCACAGATAGAGAAATCAAGAAATAAATCCCATTCACAAGTCACAAAAACACCAAATATTTAACAATAAATTTAATCAAGTGAAAAATCTCTACAATGAAAATTATCAAACATTAATGGAAGAAGTCAGGGACATGGGGGCCAGTACCATGGTACAGGCAGTAAGGCCGCTGCCTGCAGTGCTGGCGTCCCATATGGGTGCCGGTTCGAGTTCTAGTTGCTCCACTTCTAATCCAGCTCTCTGCTATAGCCTAGGAAATTAGTAGAAGATGGCCCAAGTCCTTAGGCCCCCACGTGGGAGACCTGGAAGAAGCACCTGGCTTCAGATCTGCACAGCTCTGTCCATTGCGGCCATCTGGGGAGTAAACCAGCAGATGGAAGACCTCTCTCTCTCTCTCTCTCTCTCTCTCTGCCTCTGCCTCTCTGTAACTCTGACTTTTGAATAAATAAAAAATTTTAAAAACAAAAAAGGAAAGAAATCTAGGACATAAAAAATGGATCAGAATAATTAATATCATAAAATGTCT